TTTTCAACAGTTGAAATGCCTTCCTTTCAAAGACTTGTAAAAGGACTACAACCAAATCGGTCTGTTATGTGCAGGGCAACTGTTACAAAAAGAATCGACGAAAAGGCCAGTCTAGTTAAGAAGAATGTGAAAGATGCCATGGCGAAAGTGCAACAAGTTGCAACCACGACTGACTGTTGGACCGCCCGTCGCCGTTCATATATCGGGGTTACAGCACATTGGATTGATAGCGAAACGCTCAACCGAGTGAGCGCAGCTCTTGCATGCCGTCGTCTAAAAGGCAGGCACACCTACGATGTTCTAGCGGCAAAACTTGAAGAAATCCATACTGAGTATGAAATTGTCTCAAAGATTGTCAAGACCACAACTGACAATGGGTCGAACTTTGTAAAGGCATTTTCTGTCTGTGCTGTTAATTCAGAACAACCAGAAGAACCGGAGGAGACCGAGGGAGATGAATCCACCTTTCATGATGTTTATGGCGACCTAACTGAAGCAGCTGAAAGCTTCGAGTATCAGCTTCCCCCTCTACAACGCTGTGCTGCCCACACCCTTAATCTCATATCGACAGTGGACCACATCGTTCCTCAATGACAGATCGTAATTTTGAAAATTCTCTTCTGGTCAAATTAAATAAAAATTTTGTCTAACTAACAACATGTTTTCTCAATTCTATTAGCCAAAAGAATGGGTGTAACTTTGCCATTGTAACTGTAACTAGTTACAAAAATTTTAAAATAACTTAGTAACTGTAACTAGTTACTTTTTTTCAATTGTAACTTGTATCGGTAACTAGTTACTTTTCTGATGATGTAACTGTAACTGTAACTAGTTACAAAAAATAAGTAACTATTACAGCACTGGGTTTATGTGTATATTAAATAATAAATACGGCATTATAACAACTTTTTGCTGTGTACTGGACAAATTAAAGGCCAAATGAATTCACACCGCACAACTTTTGCCTGAAACTCAGTCTCAGTACCTGCTTACAACTTGATCAGTATTAATTGTACGGTGTAAATCAAGCACAACTCACTTACAATTAACAATGTAGGTGAATTGACAGTGCTTGGTTTAAGTTACACGTACAGCACACTCAAGTTGTAAGCCAGTTGCATGCGACAGTTCCAGACAAAAGTTGTGTACTATAAATCGGCTTTGACAAATTATCGACTGATGCTGAGTAATTTAATCACCATTGACCAAGATTGCAGAGTTTGACCAAAGTATAAATTGGGACACAAAATACAAGGTGTTATTTCGAATCTGTTTCAAAATTATTGTCAAATATAACTATTTATAATATAATCTATTACTATCTAGCAAAATATGAAAATATCTAATTCTAAATAGGCTTTTATTTGACATATTTGCCACTGTCACTGACCTTAAGAAATTGACATAGTCTTCAGCGTTCGGATCGGCAACTTTAGATGAAGGCGAATAAAACTCGTATCTTTTATGCAAGACGGGTTGTCTTTCGAATGGCAAAACCATTTTATTAAATGCGACAAAAAATAAGATTTTATTACTTTATATTCGTGTAGTATTATAAAATGTTGCAATTATTGTAGTTCTAATTCAGGTTGTTATAGTAACCTGAATGTTGTTCCCCCCGGTAAAAATAATGTGTAATACATCACCCCCCGGTTAAAGGCAAAATATGATGTTTCCACACAATCTCGTTCCCAGAGTATGCCTGTTCGCGGGTTAGGTTGTGGCATGACTCTGGGGAAATCGAATTTTTTTATCCAAAATGAGATAAATGGCGCATGCGCTTTTATTGCTTTCGTTTATTCCGCTTACTAAATTCGCGCGGGCACACGCTCACAA